ACGTGTGAGGTGTGCCAGGTTACGACAGCGGATGAGGAGAGTTGGAAGAAACATGAGGGCAGTGGGAAACATAAGAAGATGGTAAGGGGGAAAGGGAAGTGGGAGGAAGCGCAGAAGTGGAGAGTGAGAAGGCTGATCGGGAAGGCTACGGAGGGGAGGAACATGGATCGAAAAGGAACTAGAGTCTGGGGGAGTGAGGATGCTAGGGAGATAGTAGATTGGGGGCTAGAGGGTAAGCAGACGATTGAGGAGTGGATTGCGCAGCTGAGCCTGAAGGAAGAGGCGTGGGAGGAGGGCGTATTGGGGAAGAGGTGATGGCTGTGGGAATACTCTCGCGGGCTATCAAAACAAGGATTCCCAGATAGGAAAGTTTGTGGACAGCGGGGTACGTATAAGCGGCTGGATCGCAGACCTCTAGTATAGTTCTTTCTCTCTACAGAGCACTCGGAACCATAGCATTCAGACTATAGCGATTCTAGATAGCTCAATTGAACTTATTCACCGCTACCACGATTCCTCGCTGCATAACAACCTCGTAATCTTGCAATGGCATAGAACCGAGTAGCCGTGAAGCCGAAGGAGAATCTGGTAGGAATACAGCAAGAATAGTAACTTTCACGAATTTTAGCAATTACAGCTGTACTTATTCTAAATATTTGGGCCTTCTTATACGTATTTTGCTGATATTCCTAAACTTCAATTACACTACCCAATATAGAATGACCCCTGCCCCACAACACGTGACGTAAAGCACTTGAAACTTCGCGTCGAGCGAGCAACAAACACCCGTGAAACCTTGACCAGCAGGGCATACATATAACGGAAACATAGTCTGGTTGAAGTCTCTCACCCACAGTTTGTCCCTTCAGCAGTAGAGTCACTAGAAGAGGAGTAAGCAAGAATGCCCCTCTGGGCTGGTTCGTTGGTCCTTCCAGCACCGGCGCAGCCGCTACAAGGTACCTTCCTCCTCTTCCGGAAAATTCTGTTTCGTTTGTGCTTTGTGGAAACAAGTATCTGAAAACAAATTTGCTGATTTGGGTTTTTGGAATGATTGAATGAAGGCCTTTGTCTCTCTGCGCCTCCTTCCCTGCACGCGTCCTCGGCGCTCCTGCCTAAGGGTGCAAGATTGTCGATGTTGGCGTTCATTGACCCATCGAGGGTGCCGTTGTGGATGGCTGCGGGGCCGAGCCTGGATGTATATACTACGGAGGAGGGGACAGAGGATTGGTTTAGGAGGGTTTTTTGTGGGGATGGGGGTTTGGGGGTGGGGGGGGAAGAGGGGGAGGAGTTGGATGAGGTCAGGCAGTGTCAGGTTGGAGTACTGGTGGGGGTGAGAGCGGGAGATGGGACAGGGGAGGAGACGGATGGGGAGGGTTTGGGAGGAGAAGGAGGGGGGGGGGATTGGGCCGTGACAGAGTTATTGGTTTATGGGAGGGTGGAGAGGAAGGAGGTGGAGGTGGAGGTGGAGGTGGAAGTGGGGGTGACGCCGCCAATAAGTAGTCCTACGGAGCCGGGAAAGGGTGGGGAGGAGGTGGGAAAAAAGGGGGAAGGGGAGGGAGAGGAAAAGGAGGGGGTCGACGAGACTGGACAGATGACGAACGCCAGAAAAGCGGCTACAACTACAACTACAACAGTTATAACCAACATAACCCTCCACGCCCTCCCACTAACATCCCATCATAACTTTCTCTCCCCCCTCGTCGGCTTACGACCCCCTTCCCCACCTCTAGAACCTTCCATTTCCGCGCCCAACCTCGGCATCCCAGGGCAACAGACGCAGGCACCCCTCACCCCAACAAATGCATCTAAACTCAACCACCTCCTTACCCAAAAGGCTTCTTTCCTCCTTCCAAATCCACTCGACTCTCCGCAGATCTCGAAGAGCGTGAAGAAGAGACGCGCAGATGTACTTTCACAAGCGGTTGAGAATAGGAAGAGGAATAGATTTGCGTCGGTAGTGCCCCCGCCGCAGCAAGGTGGGAGGGAGGGGGTGTTGTCGAGAAAGCAGAGTATGATTTCCCTGCGGGGGTATAGTCGGGAGCAGAGTCTAGCACAGTCATTTATGCGGGAAGGAACCACATTCTCAGTCCGAGACCGAGAGAGAGAGAGGGAGAGAGAGAAAGCCGAATGGGATGACGACCACTGCCCACGCTCCCCATCCCCGGAGAAATCCAGCAACCCCCTAGGATCCCGCCCAGGTACATCCAGCACTGCGGTCTCCCGGCCGGGAACATCAATGTCGGGAATGAACCCAGCTATTAAGAAAGAACCCTCATTCTCATCATCCACCTGGCCAAGGGCCTCACGACCAGCTTCCCGCGCATCAGGTGCTAGTGGGGGGCTGGTAAAACGGGAACCTCAAGCCTCGACCACAGGGCTGAATACTACTTTCCTCCCAGCTGGCGGAGCCACAGCTGCAAGCCCAACAGACACCTCCGCCGCCTCCCCAACAGATATCCAACTCTTGGATTCGACTATCGAGGCAAGGAATAAAAATGCGCTATCGAGAATGGTGTTGAGCGGGATGAAACTCTATGGACTGAAACGCCCATCTCCAAATTCTACATCTAATGCTGCACCTGCATCTGCTTTGGACGGAGAGGAGTATAAATTCGTCTACCACAACACCTTCAAAAGCGCCGTATTTGCGCTTAGATCTAGGATCGGAGTGGATATTATTGAAGGAGGAGTGCTTGGTGGGGTGGTGGAGAGGCTGTTGGGGGTGTTTTGTGGTGAGGCTGGTGGGGGTGGACTGGGGCTGGGTGGGGGGAGGGTTAATCCGGTGGCGGCGGCGTTGGTGGAGATTGAGGGGTTGAAAGGGAAGGTGAGGGAACTGGAGAGGAAGGTGGTGAGGGTGAAGAAGGAGGAGGAAGGGGAAGGGGAGGTGGAGCCTAGGACTGTAGTTAGTGTAGTCGACGAGAAAGAGATAGGGAAGCGGAAGGGGAAGGAGAAGGGGAAGGAGAAGGGGAAGGAAAAGGGGAAGGAGAAGGGGAAGGAGAAGGAGAAGGAGAGGGGGAAGATGGTCGAGAGAGGCGAGGGGAAAGGGAGGGTGGGGGATTAAGGATGTAAATTTTGGGTTTTCTTTAGGGGCGGGTGCGGGCGTTTCGTGTTTTTGGGGATTTTCTTTTTCGTTGTGCTTTGTGGCTTTGCTTTGCAACTGGTGCATAAAGTGCATCTATGTGCAGAAGAGCACGAATAATACCCATCAAGTGAGCGATGTAGAAAAAATCGTGGGCGTTAATATACGGAACATGGAGTAGATAGGTTAGATTAGTTACATGTGACTTTGATAAGTATCTAATGTTGCAAGGTTACCCTGATCTCCGCAAGTCTTTTGCGGACTTTTCCTAACCTAGTCTAGTCTAGTACTAAACCGACCCTACCACTAACTTTCCCCCACCACTAATTTCCCCCACTAATCCCCCCCCAGCAACTCTCAGATTCCTCCCTAACCACCTCCTCCCCTCAGGCAACATCACCCCATTCCCATCTCTATCGGCAGTACCGCCGCCCCTAGCAGCAGCACGATTGCACAGCCGTATGAGCCCATCTAGGTCCAGCTCTCCATCCGCTAAGATTAGTGACTTCCGCTGCGGGGCGGGCTTTAGCCGTGCAAGTGGTTTTGCTGATTTTTTAGCTCTGGAGGGCTTTGCGGGTTGGCGGAGGCGGGGACGGGGGCGGTAGAAGAGGAAGGTGGAGGGGGGGGAGGTGGTTTGGTAGGTTTTCCCGGCGAGGGAGGATCTGGGTGAGGGGTGCGGGTGGGGCTGCTTGCGTTTGCTGGGGGTGGGTTGGGTTGGTGCAGGGCAGGGACCGGGAGGGGAGGAGAGGCCCTGCTTGGTGTGCGTGGGCGGTGGGGGTTTTGGGAACGGATTAGGGCTGGGTTTCGGGCTGGTGGAGGAGGGGTTGACAGTGGCGGCGGTGGTGGCGCGGGTCCGTATGCGGAGTGACCGTTGCGGCCTGGAGAGGGGTTGGGGGTTGGATGCTGGTGGTGGTGGGGGGTGCACTTCTGGGTGAGTGGGCGGTTGTGGCTGTGGTTGTGCAGATGGATCGGTAGGGTTGGTGGGTGTGGATAAGGAGAGCTCCAATGATGGTGATGGTAGTGAGTTCGGTTTAGGTTTTGTTAATTCGAGGGTAACTCGGCTGGGGCGGCCCTTGACGCGCTTTGGTGAAGGCGGCCGAGGAGGTGGACTAGCAGGTGGGGCGACTTCTTCTAGTTCTTCCCCAAGTTCTTCCCCTTGGCCGTCCTCAGGCCTCTGCTCATTTGCCTGTACAGGCAGACTCCCCTGCCTCGTCGCCGCATCCCCACCTCCGGCAACACTATCATCACCAGCCTCATCAACATCTTCCCTCCTTCTCTTCACGCCCGTCCCCTCCTCTCCTCCAACCCCATCAACGTGCATGTCCTGCGGCCAAACCGCCTCCTCCACCCTCCCCCCAACCGCATCCCCCCCAAACCTATCCTCCACCTGCATTAACCCCCGCCCTCTCTCCCCTCCGCACTTCTCCCCAGCCCTCATGCCCCTCCCAACCCCCCACTCCTCTAGCCATCCCCACTTCGCTTTATACCTCTCCTCCCGCCTCCGCCCGAGCGCGCCCTGGCATCGGATAGCCCCTCCCTTGGAAGTACCACTGCCCCCGATGAGGTTACGCCCCGCCGGGCTGCAGCCAGGGCAGGTGCAGCGCGTGATGCAGGTCGAGTAGAGGCGGGTGAAGCCGACGTGCGTAGAGAGGAGGGAGTGGTGGAAGGAGAGGCGCGTGCGCCAGGCGGGGTCCGGCGTGGTTGTTGATGCTGGCATTGGAGGGGCGTCGGGTGGATCCATGGTAGTGTGGTGGACGGTGTGACGTGATGCGTAAAGGTGAGGTCACAACCTGCTAGTTACTTGCGATGTCACTTGTATCTAGCCCCGTCCACGAAGGCTACAAAAATATTTAACCTTAGGGTAGGTGAAATGTAGTTGAACTTTCATGTATCATTTTCCTAAAAGGTCAATATCAAACGCGGCTGAATGGTGTAGTGGTTATCACATCTGTCTTACACTGAGTAAGGTTCACAGAAGGTCCCAAGTTCAATCCTTGGTTCAGTCATCTCTTTTTCTAGGTCCCAGCGTAAGAGTTTATTATTTTTTTTTTTTTTCGGGAGTCATAATTAACTATTACGCCTGTTGATGAAATCGTGACCCCGCAACGTAAATAACGCCGCCAACCACCGCGAATCCCACCGAACCTCACCAACCACCACAGCCATGACGCCGACCACCCCTCCTCCGCCAGACATCTCCGTCACCAACCTAAGCTACAGCTTCCCCACGACGCCAGCGACGCCCGCGCTCCGCAACATCAGCTTCCACCTGCCGGCGGGCACGCGCACGCTACTGATCGGGGCCAACGGCGCGGGCAAAAGCACGCTGCTGCGGCTGCTGGCGGGGAAGAAGCTGAGCCCGGCGGGCACAGTGCGCGTGGGCGGCGCGGACCCGTTCGCGGAGGGGCTGGAGGGCGTGGCGTACCTGGGGGTGGAGTGGGCGCTGAACGCGGTGGTGCGGCGCGACGTGGGCGTGGCGGAGCTGCTGGACAGCGTGGGCGGGCGTGTGTGGCGCGCGCGCCGCGACGAGCTGGTGCGCATGATGGACGTGGACGAGGGATGGCGCATGGGCGCCGTCAGCGACGGCGAGAGGCGCCGCGTCCAGTTGTGCATGGGCCTGGTGCGGCCCTGGCGCGTGCTGCTTCTTGACGAGGTACGCTCCACTCCCCATCCCCCTTCCCCTCCCCCACCTATTTTATTTTGCTTTATGAAAGTGAGTTTCTCATGTGGGGAGGAGGGGAAACAGGTGACGATAGACCTGGACGTGCTAGCGCGAGCGAGGTTCCTGCGGTTCCTGCGGGCCGAGACGCAAGCCCGCCCGTGCACCGTCGTCTATGCGACACACATCCTCGACGGGCTCGCCGGCTGGCCCACGCACCTTGTGCGCATGACGCGCGGCCACGTCAGGCAGTTTGGCACGCTCGACGAGTTGAGCCGCCAGGTCCCGCGGGAGGGGGAGCGGGAGGGGGAGGGCGCGGATGGGGGGCTGTGGAGGAATAGTGCGTTGCTGGACTTGGTGCTGGGGTGGCTGGAGGAGGATTTCAGGGAGCGGGGGCCGGGGGGGCCCCCGAGGGTGGTGGGGCCGGAGCGCGGTGTGGAGAGTGCGGAGTAAGAAGGAGGGGGGCGGAGTATATTGATATGATATGTATGTATGTCGTGGAGGTTTGGGGGGGGTTTATCTCGTTGTTTCAACTCCATATTTCATTTGTCCGGGCAAAATGGCTGGGTCAGGTCGGGGAGAACGGGCGTCAAGGTTACTTTTCAACAATACACCATAGAATAGCAAGAATCTGGTACAGCTGTATAACCAAACTAACCATGTGCCATGTTCTAGAACCCACTGCAGTAATAAAAGAAGAAACATTTCACCTTACAAACCTCCCACCTCATAAACCCTCACACTCCCATCCTCCCCCGCCACCGCCAGCATCCTCCCTCCCTCGGGATCCACGGTAGGCCTCCACCTCACCTCCCTCACCGCCCCCCCCGCCTCTCCCACACCTCCGACCTTTCCCCATGCCCCCTCCTCTCCACCAGAATAAACCTCCACTTCCCCACTCTCCAACCCCACTGCCAGTACCAGCTTCCCCCGCACCCTCTCCTGCAGAAAATCTATTGCCATCACCGGGGTGGGGAATTTAATCGATCTCGTGCAGACCCACTCATACATATCTTCCTGAGGATGTTGCCGAACCCAGATCTTCACACTCTTATCCCTCGATCCCGTCGCAAACACCCTTCCCTCCTCCTGCCCACCTCCTCCCTCTTCACCAGGGGGAGCCCATTTCCCCGTCCAAATTACCCTTGTATGACCGCCCTTACTGGGTTGTCTAGCTACGAGGGTATACGCCGCCCCGCCCTCGTCCCCCTCTTTCGCACTCGGGTTCCTGCGATACACAGCCCAACTCCTATCCCTCGAGACACTCAACAACCACCCATCATCCCTACTAAACTCCATCCCCAACACCGTCAACGCATGCCCGCCCTTGACGGGAGGCTTAACCTCCCGTTCCTGCGCTGTATCGAATAGACGTATGACTGCGTGGTCGGTAGACGAGGCGCGGGATGAGGTGGCGATTATTGGGGTGTGATGGGCGGAGGCGACGGCTTGGAGCTCGTAGCCGTGGCCATAGAGTTTGCTGGTTTCCGGGAAGAGGGTGTGCCGGGAGAGGTGGGTTTCAAGCGGGGGGTGCGGGAGGGTGGAAAGGGAAAGGGGGTTGGTGAGAGGAGGAGAGGAATCGCCAGTGGATGTAGGATCTGCGCCTACGGCGCCGAGGGTCTTGTTCGAGAGGCCTAGGGCGGGTTGTTCTGCGCCTTCGGGGAGGGATGCGAGGTTCGTGTCATCGACATCGCCCTCCCCCACGCTGCCCGCGCTGGTGAGTCTTGCTAGCAGAGAAGCCACCCCCCTCGGCTCCTCAAACACCCTCAACAGCTTCTCATCCGCCCCACTCACAAACTGCCAACCCCCCTTCCGTTTTCCCTTCTGCCCTATCCGCGGCAACCAACTCACGCAATTAATATCATACCCATGAATCTGCGGTCTCGCCATCTCATGCCACCCCCCGCCACCCCCGCTCTCCTTTCTCCACCTCGCCCATATCCTAGTAGTTTGGTCCAAACTCGTACTCAACAGCCAATCCCCCCTTGGGCCGCCCCAGCTAATTCCAGTTACATCCCTGGTATGGCCCGTCACGGCGACTTTCCCTGTCCAGCGGTCTTGGAGCTCATCGTAGCCCCATAACCGCCACCCCCCCGTGCGGCCAATTGCAGCGACGTGAGTGCCAGAGGGGGAAAAGAGACCTATCCAGAGCCCGCCGGCGCCGCCGGCGGCGGTGCTAGAGCCTTTTTGGTCCGAGATCTCGCCGAGGCGGGTCGTGGAGAGCCAGATGCCGGTGGAGGGGTCGGGGGTCCAGAGGGAGAGGGAGTTGTCGGAGGAGGCGGAGAGGAGTTGAAGGACATTTGCTGGGGAGGCGGGGGTGGTGGGGCGCCATTTTACGGTGTATATCCAATCTTCGTGACCGACGAGGAGGGCTTCGAAGGTTATAGAGTAGTATTCCTTTTCTGCTTCATTTGCTGAAGTAGTGGTAAACCGGTAGACTTTGTTACTCAGCGCGCTCCTCCCCGCCCCCACCGCGCCAAAACCACCTGTGATATTCGATTTCCCCCCGTGGTGAACCTTCCATAACCGGATATATTTATCCTGGCTCGCGCTCGCAAGGAGTAGATCACTTCCTCCCCCGCCTCCTCCACCTTCCTCCCCACTGGGTTTCTCAAATGTGAACGCCAGCGACCTCACCCAATTCTCATGTCCGGCCAGGGTTGCCCGGAGGGAGAATGGCTCCTGGGAGTGGGAGGAGACGTAGATCTGGATGCTATTCGTTGACCCAGCGGCGGCGAGGATGAGAGCGGAGCTGTTTGAGTTGGAGTCGGGGAGAGTCGAGAGGGAGAGTGTTAGCGGGAGGAATTTCGGCTTAGTGGTGAGGGATTGTGAGTGGGCGAGGTTGATTGTGGGCTGTGCGGATTGTGAGGATGAGGGTGAAGGGCGAGTGCTGTAGAGCGACCATATACTGACTGCACCATCTGCACCTGCGGTGGCGACTATGCAGCCCTTCCTCCCTCCTGGGCCAGATACGGAGGCGATGTCGTTGATACTACCTCTGACTTTTTCCATATGCCCTATGATATAATCGTAATCATCCTCCTCCCCCTCCTCCCCATGTCGCTGTACCCAAACCCCAACCTCACTCGCCACCCCTCCGGACCCCGACACAAGCACCATCTCCTCCCCCACCTGTTTCCCATCTTCGCCATAAACCGGTATCCTCACCCACCGCACGGCATTCACAGTTTCAGCATGCCCCTTCAATACCCTCCTCACGCCCCTCAGTCTCGGATCTTCGGGGTCCCAGAGCGCGATTGTGCTCCGTGCGGCGTATGCGACTAGGCCGGAGGAGGTGGGGGAGGTGGAGGGGCGCCAGTCGGCGGCGGAGGGATGCCGGTTGCAGCCGGTGGAGTTGAAGGGCGTGGTTATTTTCATTTCCCCTCGTTGGACTGTACTTTGGAGGCCGGTTTGGCTTCATTTGCCTAAACTTTGGTGGGGCTCGCTTGGCATCCAGTTACCCTGAACTCATCCTTCCTTCCCACCGATTCATCCTCCTATCGCGAGCCACCAGCGTCGAAGGCCGGTGCCAGAGAGGATATATTCTGCGCGGATAGCAGACTAGAGAATACAGCAACAGATAAAACTTCTCAGAACCGCCTATCTAGAGTCCCATGAATTACTGGTGCATGGCATGCAGTATCCAGAGCGAGCAGCAATCTCCCAATGTCTGTGATATAACAAGTATGCTCACAGTGAGTACACCGGTACTGCAACATAAGCTGTAAGGCCTCGGATTTCCCATCTCCAAGAAGCTTGTTCTCCGGCAGAGGGCTTTCCTCATCAAACTATCATTATCCAGCTACAAGACACAGAAACGCCAGTACTCGCACGCAAACTTTTCTCCGTCGTGACAAAAAGGAAAAAGGAAAACAAGGAAAGGTAGTGTACAAGATGCTGCATGCAAGTACCACCTGCCAGCGGTCTTGCTCCCCCTCAGGCAAACGAAACCCTCTTCTTGGTCTTGCCCGCGGCGGCTTTCGCTTTTTTCTCCCTGACCTCCTCCTTATCCTGCTCCTCGAATTTGCTCTGCCCCCCGGCCCTCTTCCCCCTCACCTTGTCCTTCGCCCTCTCCAGCCTTGACTTCCTCTGCTCATCCCTTGCATCCTGCTCTTTCCTCCTCGCCTCCCTCAGCGCCTCTAATTGCCTCTTTTATAAAAAGTTAGCCCACTCTCGGCCGTTCAACACCAACCACTAATAGCAGGGGACTCACCCCCTTCTCCAGCTTCTCCTCGATCTTCTCCTCCTTGACCTCGTTCACCAGCCTCAGGATCTCCAGCATGGACTGCTTGTCCTCGACGAACCGCTTTCCCTTCTTGCCGCCACGGGCCTTGGTGACCCCCGCGG